ATTACCCTTTACCTTTTTAACGTTCAATAAAATACAGGGCCCCTAATTCTAAAACTCTAAATTAGGACTTAGGGCATGATGGTGAATCTTTTAGAGACACATGCCCAAATTGCAACCCAAACCACTTATTTCTTCCAAAGCGACAACACTGCAGTTAACCCTGAGTACTGAGGTTTTAGTTTACAAAAACCAATGTATACACTGACATCTTTTGTCTTGAAAGAAAAACAAATGACAAGTGTACCATCAGTTCCACTAACGTTGACTTAGCCAAAAGGTTTATAGAAACAACTGGTAAAAGGCATATTACTTTCTTTTTGACATTTAAGCCATCGCTAGACTTAATATTAAAATAATACATTTTTTCCTTTATAAGGGAGAAACTACTCTGCTTTATAATTGATGTTTGTTTATTTATGCATTTATGCATTTATGTACTGGGGATTGAACTCAGGAACCTGCATTTGCCTGCAGACACTTACTCTACTGAGCGATCTCCCCAGCCCCTATAATTGGTGTTTATTGAAAATCTTCTTTAACATTGTTTCCCAAGATACTACCGTGAAATCTTACCTGGGGAAATTGTGGAAATATCTAGACATGGTGTCCGAACTCTTGATACCATATCAAGGTCTGAAGGAAACTCAGTGGCTTTTTGTATCTTTGAATATGTATATTTTGCAAGACCAGATAGTATGTTTGAAGGTAAGCAGTTTTTTCCTGCTATTCATAGAAATTTTCCATTAATCTCACTGAAACATGGCAGTTCTTGGCCCAGAGGTTTATTTGGCTCTTTGAAAGTGTGTGATTATGCAAAGTCTGCAAAAATAATGCAGACATCAGGAAAAGAAAAACTTGGATAAATACTAAATATTAGTACAGTAAACTTACTGAGATATCATGAGATTAATATAAGTTACCTTTGGCCTTTACAATTGCAAGGGTTCCTCAAAGTGGTGGCCATTAGCTTCTACATTTATTAATATAGTAAGCTGCTGTAGTCTGTATATTTTCATTTAATTTGGCAAACTCTGTATGTTGTGGATATATTTTTGCAGTATTGAGCTATACCCCAGCTCTTTCATATTTTTAATTTTGAGACAGAGTTTTGCTAAATTACTTAGTTGCCCAGATTGGGCTTGAATTTATGAGTCTCCTGCCTGAGCCTCCCAGAATGCTGGCTAGATACCACACCTGGCTAGACTTCTTTTTTTTTTAAGTAGTAACAATTATAATTTTGAGGTATATGAAGTTCAGATTTTAAAAATACTGCATGGTTAAATTCCCAGTTGCTGTATTTCCACTTCATTGTTTTTCTTCTCATGCTCCCACCTGTAGAGTTCTAGCACTGACTTTTTAGACCTGCAGTATTATATTATGCTAAATAAAAATGATCTGTTTCTGTTTCCAAATATACCAGACCAAATGGTTTACACAGTAAGGTATCGCTGTGGTCGGCAGCTGGCCATCGAAGCACCTGTGGATGCAGATTTGGTTAGCACTGTTCCAGAGTCTGCTACACCTGCTGCTCTTGGTTATGCAAAGAAGGTATTTTCTCTTCATTATAAATTGCTGTCCTAGCAGTGGAATAAGAATTTGTGGCCTATAAACAGAAAGTACTAGAATTGGCCAGGTTAATATAAATTCCAAGGGGCTGGTGAGATGGCTCAGTGGTCTAAAGTACCTACTTAGAACAAGCTTAGCACAGGGACCGCGGTTCAATCCCCCAGCACCACATGCCAGCCAGCCCCGCCCCCTGGTGGGCTGAGCTGGCCACACACAAACACACACATAAATAA